GGCTTGGAGCAACCTGGGCTGCTGGGAGGTGTCCCTGCCCATGCAGGGGGGTTGGAACTAGCTGGGCTCTAAGGTCCCACCCAGCCCAAACCATTCTAGGACATTCTTCTTGTGTTGGACCCACAAGAAGCTGTTCATCTCAGCCTGTTGCTCTAGGTGATGCTTCACTCTCCTTCTCTTTTCCCCATGCTCAGCTAAAAACAACCCACACTCTCTGGTGTTTAAACTGTTCTCAGCAAGATAATTACCTATTATAAATTCCACAATTATTTCATTATGCATTATTAGATGGGGGGGGGGGAAGGAAATAATTCCAATCCCATCATACAGTTAATGGAAGTGATTAAATTGTACAAAAAAAACTTTCCTGAGAGTCACTGTTTTCTTAGCATGGGCTGAGAAATGTCAAGTAATTACACACAGCACCACAGAAGAGTCAAGTTGTTGTGAGAAGAAGGGTTTGTTAGCTCCTCAGTGGCATTCACTGCAGATTAAAACAAGTTGTAGAGGGCAGGTACCATCTGAAAAGTTAGTACCCTCGTGCAGGGAAAAAGGCTCTTAATGTAGATGATCCATGTTTGCATGAGGTCCTTGAGCACCCACCATAGTGGAGGATGAGCAGAAGAGCTCTCTGGACCTTCTGCAAGTAGGGTCAGATAGCAAACCTGAAATTAGAGGCTCAAGACCTGGTGATTCCAGGCTCAAGGGATTACGTTGGAAGGGCTGGGATGGTCATTCTGGGGTGTATCCAAAGTCAGGGGGAGCCTTGCCCATTTGCATTGGGGACCACGTCTGGGGCAGGGGAAGAGGTGTCTCACCTGGGTGTGAACAACCTGCTCTCTGCATCCGTGGTCCCTGCACCCCAGCAGGCATCCAGGAGGCACCGCTGTCCTTCCAGCTCCACCGCGTTCCACATGTGGCTGCTCTCCTGCTGCTGGCACCTCCGGCGGGAGCCTGGGCTGCGACCAACCCCTGGCACCTCCACGCAGCTCAAGCCTGCCTCCCTGCCCAAGGAGAGCCATCAGGGGGGGCAGAACTGCAGGCCAAACCCTGCTTTCTGCCTGCTTTCTTGGGGAGCAACTCAACCCACGTGGTAAGAACAGCCCCCTTCTTGCTAACACCACAGCCCCACTCATGCAAGCTGTTGGCCAAAGTCACCCTCTGCCCAGCCTCCTGCTCTCCTCACAGCTTCTCCCAACCCCCAGCCCTTGTCACTCTGGCTCAGGATGATCTGTCAGAGCCATAAATACTCCTCCATCCAAGCAGAGGAGGACGGCGTGGTGAGGGAGGTGCCCAGGGAGGAGGTGGGTTGTGTGGCAAGCCCCGTGCCAGGTGGGTGTCCCCACCAAAGATCTGCAAGGAGGTGGGAGATGAAAGCTCAAGGTGAGTTTTACCTGCACATTTCCTGGCATAAATTAGCATAACCAGAACACACAGCTCTTCCTGTTTGCAGGACCTGCTCTGCCAGGTGGATCTTCTGAGACAGCCCCAGGAAGCCATCCACATCATATTCTGGGAAGGGGGAGAACACCATGCAGTTCCAGGCCTTATGATTTCCAAAACAATTCCATTCCTTCTCCTGCCCAACACTAATTCTCTGCCTACCCACCCTGGAAGCCATGACAGCTCTTCTATCCATCATTATTCAAGAGTTTGACAGTTCCCCAGATGAGCAAAGACCTGCCAAAGCCTCGAGGGTGTTGAGTTCCCAGTGCAATGTAAACAGCCTTGGTGTCCTTCAAGGGAGGTACAGGGACAATCCCATTTTCTGGCACACATGGATCAGATGCCTCTGTGTCCCCAGATGGCTGCTGCCAGGCACAGCTCAGTCCCTCATGGTCAGGGAAACAGCCTCTCCTGCACTGAAGATGAGTGCATCAAAGGCAGGGAAGGCATCTCCAGGATGGAGGGTCCCGTGGTGGGAACCAGCTCCTGCTCCAGCACATTCCTAAATTCATAGAATCACCCTCTTTGGAAGGGACCTTAAAGACCATCAAGGATGTTCAAGACAGGAACGTTTCCTGAGATAGGAACACAGTTGGACCTGATGATCTTAGAGGTCTTTTCCAACCAGAATCTGTGATTCCATGATTCTACACTGCAGAGTCTCTACTCTGAAGGGCATGAAGAGCCTAAACCCTGGAGGTGGCACATGAAGAAAGGGCTTCTCATGTCTCTGCAAAAGAGTGGGACCAGACTTACCAATGTTGTGGCAGAGCCAGACCCATATTGCCCTCAGCATCTCCAGCTTGCTCTGGGATTTGGCAGTGATCAGGGGAACGATGGCCTGGATGGACAACCTGGTGGGCCTGGATTTCAGCTGCAATGGAGAGGACAGTAAGTTGAGGGGAATCTGGGTGTCCCTGTGGAGTGGGTGAGTGACTACTCCACATGATGGGCTCACTGGCAAGAAAATGTATACCACAAAACCCCCAAAGCTATTTTTTCTTTTTCCTCCTCAGAATTTAAGATGCAAAAATACTGTCTGTGGTAGAACAGGGAGTTTCCCTCACTTTCCTAGGCATAGGTTTTATAAAAGCCTGATATCTGGAGTTACAAGTTGGGAGGAATGAAGGTGGCATTCCAGGCCAGGTTGGATGGGGCTTGGAGCAGCCTGGGCTGGTGGGAGGTGCCCCTGCCCATGCAGGGGTGTTGGAACTGGATGATCTTGAAGTTCCCTTCCAACTCAAACCCCTCTATGATGAAGTGATTTCCTATCCCTTTGGAGCAGCTGGTTGGGACATCAAGTGTCATTGCTCTGGTGCCTGTTCTGGTTCAACTTGTCCTATGGCCCAGAAGGTCTTGTCCTAGAGGTGGGTCTCTCCAGTGGTTCTACTCTGCCACCCTTAACTAGTGACAGGAGGTTTCCAGCCTTGCAGATGAACATCTCAGTGCATTCATGATGGGCCAGACCTGTAGCTCAGATGCTTTTCTTGAGGCCTCACTCAAACCCATGCACCTCAATGGGTGGAGAGAAGACCTTTTTCCCCACTACCATTAAAATGTCACTAACTTTTTAACCCATACCTGACCCCAAGGGAAGCTTTTCTGCCCTTTTCCTCCCATTCATGCATTCTCAGCTCTGGGCTCTTCCCCCTTTTGTGGCAGCACAAGTATTTTTAGCAGCACTCTTTTCTTTCACCAAGTTAAATTTAGCCCAGCTCATTTCTCCAGGCTCCTGACCCTGCTGATTTCATTCCTCAGTGACTTTCCTGCCCCAACCATCTATGTGAGAGTTTCACAGAGATGGAATTTTCCTTCTTTTTTTTGAATTTCTTATTTTTGGATTTTGTGGCTGCCCCATCCCTGGCAGTGTTGAAGGGCAGGTTGGATGGGGCTTGGAGCAGCCTGGGCTGGTGGGAGGTGTCCCTGCCCATGCAGGGGGGTTGGAACTGGATGATCTTTAAGATCCCTTCCAACCCAAACCATTCCATGAATCTAGGGTTCTTTTTGCTTGTGGGAAATGGTGCATTTGTAATGGATGAAGATTTTCCTTGGAAAGTGGATTTAAAACGTGCCCAGGAGAGCACCTGTTTCAAAATGCTGGTACTGCTGCTGGTCCCTGCACTTCTGCCATGGGGTTGTTAGGAGTGGGCAGCTTCTAGGCAAATGAATAATAGGATTTATTCCCAAGGGAAAAAAATCAGTACACAGCTGTTAAAAGTCTAGCTGCCTGCTTTCCTGGTGGCTCATCTGGTTGTAAATTCAGCCCAAGTCCTTGCAGTGTTCCCTAGTAATCCTGGTCCCAACTGTTGCCTGAGGACCCTTCAGGGATGGGTCTGAGCATCTCGTGTTGCAGCAGTTTCTGGCTACTCCAGAGTGTTTGGGATTGATGGATGAGGCCATTTGCTCCAAAACCACCTGAGCAGTGATCCTGCCAAGACTTTTTCACAAGGTTCAGGTGGATGCACATGAGCAGTCTGTGGGCTACTCCTAAAGGGCCAGGCCTTTCCATACTAAAAGTGGGCCTACAGGAAAGATGGGGACAAACAGAGTGATAGGACAAGGGGTGATGGTTTTAAACTACAAGGTGAGGGGAGATTCAGACTAGATATTAGCAAGAAATTTTTTATAGTGAGGGTGGTGAAGCCCTGGCCCATGTTGCCCAGAGAGGTGGGAGATGCCCCATTATCCCTGGAAACATCCCAGGTCAGGTTGGATGGGGCTCTGAGCAACCTGGTCTAGTGGAAGATGTCCCTGCTCACTGCAGGGGGGTTGGACTGGATGAGCTTTACAGCTTTTTTCCAGCCCAAAAACTTCTGTGCTTCTATGGCCTGGAAAGAATTCTGGCTTTGTGCCTGCACTGCCTGGGGCTCTGCCATCAATCTCCTCCTCCCTGGGGACTGGCAGCAGAGCTTGGTGCATGGGGAGAGGGGACAAGCTCATGTCCTCGTGGCACAGCTGGCTGAGCAGGGGCCATCACCAGAGGTGTGAGACCCTGCTCAGATATGGTCAGTGAACTGCTCTGCTGCTGCTGTTGGCACCAAGGATTCATGGCTAAGAGGAAGAGATGAAGTGCACCAGGTTTTAGTGCAGAGGGTGCTTTGAGTAAACAGGGAAGCAAGTTGTTCCCACTGCCTTGAAGGTATTTTGGGTTGTTTATTATCCTCTTTTTCATACCTTCCAGCTCCCTCCCTCTCTCTTCTCTTTTCAATAGAGTAGGTAGATTCTGAAATCCTCAAAGCACCCTCCTTCCCAAGGGAGGTTGCCTCAGCCTAGGTACAAAGGACAGGTTTCAAAAATAACAGGGAGCACAATTATTCCTTGTGCCTCTTGGCTTTTGCTCTCAAGTTGGGCTGTGAGCTGCAAGCCCTGCCTTGGCTCAGCACTCACTGCTCAGGCACATTTTATTGACTCTGGGGGAGAAATCACCCCGGCAGTGCCTGCTTCAGGTAACAGGAAGGAATGACAAAATTCAGAGCTCCCCTTCTGGTCCTCAGCAGCCAGAAAGAGGGAGCATCGTATAGAAGGCAGACAGTCTGAAATGAGGACAGATCCCCTGCTGAAGATAAAGCAGAACTTGGGCTGCCAGAGCCATGCAGGGGTTGGTGGACACAGCCAGACCATGTAATTACACCTGGCTCTGTGTGATTTTTATTCAGAAATGACTGGCTCACCTGCTCCCAGACAAACTAAACACAACCTGTGCTGCCTCAGGGAATCCTGTGGCCTGAGTCCTTTTCTCTCCACCCCTGTAACCTTCCTAGAAGGGTTCCCAAGGTCCCTCCACCCCACTGCAAATCCCTTTGGGGGACCCTGAGAAAAAAATTCCCCATCACAATATTCACTGCAATGAGTTGCCCAGAGAGGTGGTAGAAGCTCTATCCTGGGACATAATCAAAGTCAGGTTGGATGGGGCTCTGAGCAATCTAGTTGAAGATGTCCCTGCTGATAGCAGGGGGGTTGGACTAGATGAGCTTTAAAGGTCCCTTCCCACCCAAACCATCCTGTCATTCTTCTGGTTTCACAACCTTTCTTCCCATTTTTACATAGTGAGTCCCAGCAGGTGCTGCATGTTGCAGCTACACACCAGTGCTGGCTGGAAATGGGCAACAACCATCCCCTGGCTGGGCAGAAGACAGATCTCCAGAGGCAGCAGGGTGATCTTTGGCCGTAGTTAAGAAAAACTCACAGCCCAGGGCCTTGTGAGATCTCCTAGTTTTGCTGTAAGGCATCACCTTGTCAACATCAGAGCATGCAGTAAAAAAGCTGAGTGTCAGGATGTGGATCTGCTGATGCACCATCTGTGCTCCTGATGAGGGGCACCAGAACCTACCTGCTGGCTCACCTGTAGCACGTGGCTGTCTACGTGGCTGAAAACCTTCAAGTCAGAGAAGAGGTCTCTCCTGGTCTTTCTCTGGGGGTTTTTAGCCTGCTTCTCTTCTTCCAAGCTGCTAAGCCTCTCCTTGGGAAGGAGGGCTGGAGAGCAGGTTCCCACAGCCCTGGTGGACTCCTGCAGCAGCTGCTGGCAGGTGGCCCTTTCACTGCTGCTGGGAACTTTGTTGGCCCAAAAGGTGAAAACCTCCTTGGAGGGGGAATCCTTGAGCTCATCTCTTCCTTTTTGTGAAGCTGAGGTTTCCTTCAGCAGCCTCTCCTTGCTCTTGTTCATGCTGGTGACTCGGTGGGGGAGTTTCCCTGAGGTCCTGCAGCTGATTTCTTGGGAACCATGTCCCAGGGGAAAGTTGCCATTGCAGACATCTGATATCTGAGCTTCCCTCCAGCCAGGTAGGGTGGTTTCTGCCCGGGATGGCATCATGTTTTCTCCATGGTTCTCCACGGGATGGGCCCACCTTGATGTGCTTTGGGTGGTTTGTTTGTCATGGTGGTTGCCACTCCTGGAGTGATGGGAGGGAACTGGCTCCTTGGCTTTGATGGTCTGGGATTTGGATGCCATGCCTCTGTCATAGCTGGTCTTCATCTGCCTGGTGGGAAAGGGGGTGAAGAAACCACAGAGGTCTGCAGATGGAAAGACAGATGATTTTTCTCTTCAAAACAAGAATGCACTCTGCTCTGATTACTTTAGGGCCTGAGCTTAATTACAGAAAATTGGGATTTGATCAGCTGGGTTTAGCTAAAAACGCTGATTCTTCTCCTAATTCCAGAAGAAAGGTGGATGGCAACACCACAGAGAAGCCCTTGGCTCGTTTCTGAGTGCAAAACCATTGATTTTTTTGGGGTATCTGGAGACTCAGTGGTGGGCTAGAACTTAGCACCAGAAGGGAATGGAAATGGATAAAAAAGAAATGGCAAGAAAATATTTGTGTGTGTCAGAAGGGTCAGGAAGTGGGTGCAGGAGATCGGGATGTGCCTCAGTTTCCCTCCAGGAAACTAGGACTAATCTCATAGCAGTCCTCCTCACCTCCAGGGTCAGGAATCAAGGAGAACAAAGAATTCATATCATGAGTGTTTTGGTGTTCCAGAAAGGTCCATCTGCCAGAAAAATCTTTCCTTTAGCAGGACCCTCCCCTCCCACTCAGTGTCTTTGGTGTTTGGCTCAGATTCGCTTCTGCAGCAAAAACACATCATGCTGGCTTTGCATTTCAAATGGAGGTGCAGTGGGTGAGGGATGTGCAGGAGAAAATGTGTGAAGAAGTGGAAGGAAAGCTGCAATCCGAGACTGATGAGGGTTTTTGGGGGTTAAAGCTGTGGGCAGAGCCAGCTCTCCCTGCCCTCAACATCTGTGCGGCGCTCACTGGTTTCAGCTTGGTTTAGCTTCTATTTGCTGCTGTTGTTTTTAATCAAGAAATGACTATTTGTGCCATGCTGTGCTGCTGTGAGCCACTGTAGTGTAGCCCAGAAATGTCACTCTCTGTACTCATCCAACATCTCCCAGCCTG